TTACAAGACGACTATAAATACATTTTGGAGTACACTTACAAGTACAGATATAAGTTCCATTCACTCACACCACCTATGTAGATTTCTATATGCCATCCATGGTACATGTGATAATCAAGTCTCATCAGACCGAGAATTTTCAAAGAGAGCATAGTTCATGTTATTGTTGCAGTGTTCTTTTTCCCTTTGGCTGTGACTTTCAAATTTGACATGCCTGTAAAGTCTGCACTTTTATTTTTGTTCATATATAAAATATCGAGAATTGTAGATTAACCATTAGAGGGAGATCTCACTAGCTCAGGTCAATACATCTTCCTGTTGGGATAAGATTTCATCCACATGGGTAGCACCTTGTTTGCAATGGGTCCACTGATGCTTGTGCACTGAAGGCATAGGGAATGTTTGTTAGCAAATGAAGCTGTGTTCACTTTAAACATCCAAATGATGAGTAGGAGGATGAAAAAAAAAAACACAGGGTAATGCTTTGTCAATGACTGAATACTTCAAGTAAACACAGTTTTATTTTATTAAGTGATGACTGCTCCATCACTTAACCTCTAGACTTCTATCCTGAGAAGGAGCAGAAAAGTACAACCACCATGTAGCACTGCAAAACACTAAACAAAACCTAATGTAATAAGCAAATATGGCTGTTCTATAAAATAACAATTTTAGATTCCCCTGAGGAACTTCTTCTTTATGTTAACATAGAACTCAAGAACGTTTTTAAGCATTTACTTAAGAATTCTTCCCATTATCTATCACAGTTAGTAATTCAGTTTATAGGGGGGCGGAGTCTATTTTTTTATCTTCAGAGTAGTTAGCTAGAAGTACAACACCAGGTCAGTAGGGTGTAATCAAACATTATTAATAAACAATATTCCTGATATCAATATGGACTGCATTCTGTCAAGGTATCTGTCCTGGACTTGGTGAGTACTGTACAGCCCTTATGACGGCAATTTCGAGGAGAAGCTATATGGAATGTGTCAGGTTTTCTAAAACGTGTGTAATTTTCTCTAAATTTTGCAATTTGCCTAAAACTTTATAATACATATATAATTTCTAAAGAGCAAATATTAAACCAGTGTGAGCTCCTAAATTTCACTACCTCTTTGGAGATCAGAGACTGAACTTCCAATGCCTCATCTATACATGGGACAGTTATATTTACAACAAGGTTCTGGTGTTTTCCCCCAAAGACGTTTTAAATTCACAGGCATAAAATAATGTTTTGGCTAATATACACCACAAATCCCTGGATTAATGATGGCATAGACACAGCTGAGGACCCAGCTTGCAGAAGCGCAGTGACTTAGAAGTTATCAATTGGCCAGACATATACCAGCAATTATATTTCTATTTGTTAACCTAAAACGATTAACAAATGCAGGAAGTGGATTGTCAGTCAGCTATATAGGCTGCAATTCATGTATCACTTCCACTGAGAGCATTAAAGTATTTACAAAAATGCTACCCTTGTAATTTGAAACATGGCCGTTTTTTTCACCACATACATTAGCAAATACAGATTAGCAATAATTGGATTCACTGTTTTGTGCCAAAGTTCCAAAGTTTGGGGGAAAGGGAGGGGGAAAAAGAACATAACCCCACCAGGCTGAATCCTCTCTGTCAGTATGGTTCAGGATTGCAAAGAGGACCTATACCTGCGGAGATGCTCCTGTTTTCTACAGGACAAAGTGTACCATTCTCTGGACTGTCTTCATTCAAATAATTAATTTGCTATTAATAAATGGATGCATCATGAATTGTAAAAAAACGGAATTGATTAAAGTTATCTTATAGATGCACACTTGTGTCTGAAGTCCTATGGCTTATATAGGTTCTGCCCCATTATTGCTTGAGTAATCTACTTATTATCCCCAGCATCGTGGGACATATTGAAAGATATTGCTCTGATATATATTTTTTTCTCAGCTCTGTCTCTTTTTCTCTCCTTTACACACACACACACACACACACACACACACACATACATTGTATCTATCTATCTATCTATCTATCTATCTATCTATCTATCTATCTATCTATCTATCTATTGTCTATCAAAAATCTATCTATCTATCTATCTATCTATCTATCTATCTATCTATCTATCTATCTAAAGTCTATCTATCTATCTATCTATCTATC